CATGTCACTTAGAAATTATTAGTGATGGTGTTTTTCAGTAAGGTGATACAAATATTAACAACCAAGTGTTAGATATCAGTACATACCTACTCACATATTCCTGCTGGTTTAATATCTATGCGTATATGGCATTCATGCAGACTAAAACTACTGCATATTTGCTATCTTCATAATGTTATTGGATGCGGGATTTAAAGAGAATTATGCTATGATTTGTGGTTAACTTTCAAAAACGTCACCTCCAGGCGGGTTGTCCGTAATAATCTCTTCAACACTAATGCTTCTTGTCATCCAGGTGCTCCGAGGGTAAATCAACTTACGAGGTATGGGCAAGGTGGAAGTAACAACAACCTACATACTTCTGCAAGTGCATAAAACTGCTCCGTTCACCATTTGTGATGTTCTCGCTTTCATCTTAATAATACTATTGTTTACCTTCTCTTGACTTTGTCTGTGTTGTTTGTCAACCACTGGAGTCGTGAGAAAACCGTTCCTAGTCTCTTAAAACCACTCGGTTTACTTCATACTAAACCTTTCAATGTCTGGACTTGATGACAAATCGAAAAACAAGCCTCACTAGCCAAAACTCTGGCTTCTTGGGCTTTGGACGTACGTTGTGTGTCTACGATATGCATACGAAGCCCATGTGTGATTATTCACCTAACATCACCTAGCTAACGCAGTGAATCTAGGAAACTCATACTCCAGGTATGACAAGATTCCTTGTGCAGTTCGCGTGGATTCTCTGGTGTAGGAATAATATTGAGCGCCATTGTCATAACATCGTCACTTCTATGGATTCCAATGAATCATTTCATTTGTGCTGTCTGGCTGAACGTGAGAATAAGGAAAGACTGTGATAGCCTTCAATGTTTTTTCTTTATCTCCACTTGCACACTGACTGTGACTCCATTTAAGACGAAGTAAAGGATGAGTTTTACCAAAAGTTCTCTAGTTTATTGCTGAAAGCAGAACTCTCAGGTACGGTCATATTAGCAGAGAAGATGAGGAATTTTAAAAATGAAATAGGGGCTATATGGAACTCCATACCGAATAACTGGTGGCAGCAATCGCCTCTTACAGATAACGATGTTTTCCCGGAGACAACATAAGGTCAGAAATAGTCTTACCTAGCCGCTGCTGAAATCAAGCTAACAGTGGTTCGCTTAGCTGTGAGTTACCAGTGGAGATGGTTAGTGGAAGATTATTGCTGAAACATTTGCGTGGGTTGCGATCACGAACATTCGGTGTACGTATATTTCTGTGAATGAGCAGTTCTGAAGCCTTTACGTGTCCAAGTTTTCATTTAGTGCATACAGTCTGCACTTAGACTGAATATATATCTACATATGATGGGAATTCTTATCCTCAGGAATCTTGGCACCACATCAAGTGTACTATACTGGTAGATAACATGCAACCGAAAGTTAGTGATTGCCTGTAGATTTCCACAATCTGAGTCAAAGAGATTGATCCAAGTAGTTTCAGAATATCCTTAGGGGTGAAGTTTAATTAGACAATAGCTAACTAAAAGTTTCCACAGTGATCGCAGACACTGGCGAGGGATGAAGGCGAAGTAGGTTGCAAAACATCAGTCGTTGGTAACTCTCGTCAAGTATTTAGGCTCATATGGGAAGTGAGTTGTAAAAAACCTGTTGTAAATGATCTTCGGATAGGATATGCTTGCAATAACTCTGGGTAAAAAACATAAGAGCGCAGTGCAATGCTTGCCCACTATACAATGCTATTCTACGTGTTATTTGGACATCGGCCCTCCCACTGTAGCTGGGTTTTCAAAATCTGTCTTGGATCTAAAACTAGACAAAGCAGCAGAACCTGATGGTAAGACTCCGGAGTTGTTTAACGATGGTGGTGATAGATTACTGACTAGATGGTCCAGATAGACTAACGTAGATCATTGGTATTCCCAATTTATAAGAAAGGGTATAAATCTCCTAGTAATAATCCTGAGTGGTTCAGACTGATCAAAATATTGTCTAAGATTATAGGTAACATAGTCCCACAGAAGCTAAATGAGGTTCTAGTAAAACAAACTCAGAAAACCAGATAACCTTCAGGCTGGGACAAGGATGTATTGGTCATATCTTCAACCTTCACCAGACTGCAACAGAGATATACTTATCATCATTCATCTTTTACCATATTTGTGCGTCGGTGGCACAGTGGTTAGGACTCTCGCCAACCATACACATGGTCCGGGGTTCGATCCGCTGCCGACACACACCTGATATCCATGGTCGGCTTGCAAAATTTGGGCTACCGATATCACATGGTGAAAATTCCATACCTGTACCAAAAAATACGGTGTGGAATCAAGCTGTAATCAAAAATAAAAAAAATATTTCTTGACCTGAAAGTGGTGCTGTGAAAATGCCTAAATCTGAAGAGAGTACTGAAAAGGAGTAGTATTCTATTCAAGGCACTACTGCAACTCATACAGGTACATAAAAGTTTATGAAGAGTTGTCATCTGAAGTGACATTCTTCAGTGCTGTCCGGTGCCGTAATTCTTGTTTAATTTCGTTGTGTGTATGACCCTAGAGAAATTCGATGTCTTCGGGATCAACTTGCTATCAGGGAAAGGACGAATGTTAAGTAGTCCTTTTTGATGAAGTTGATGTAAAATAGAACAGAAGGATAAGTATGCTTGGTGTTTGATGCTCCTCTGCCGGATGTAATATCATGCTGCAGAACTGATCTGTAGAGATATCTAGTTTCAAGACAGAAAGTTAAATGTACTGAAAAAAGCCCTTGATGGAGATGGGCTTTGAACTCATGCTCTTTCAGACTGATGCCTTAAACCAGCACCTTAGATCGGTCAGTCACTCCAAATGTGCTGACCATTACATTTATTTTTGGAAAATGCATCAGCTCTAATGGACTGATTGTTGACAAAATGTCATCACGAATAGTTTGATATTCGCCACTCAACGTCATCCCCGCTATGGATGTGAAGACCGTGTACCCATCAAAAGGCTTATGCACTATGCAACACTTGGGTCCGTCCTTCATTATGACTATGAAACATGGCCTTTGAAAGTGGGAGATTTGTGATTATCAACTCCTTTGTTCAGTTTCTGGTGTTATATGGGGCGATATTATCAGTATTAATGAAGTTAGGTGTAGAATGCAAGGACGAAAAGTCAATCAATAGGCTTGTAATGCTTCCTCATTTGAGATTGTTAGGGCATGTGTTACACCTGTCGAGACACTGTGTTCTTCTTCGACGGGAAATGTTCAACTGAGAAGGAGTTGGAGGTGGTCAGACGAGAACATGGAGCCAGTCCATGAAATCATTGACTGTTGGTTTAAGCCATGTAGGGAGGTGTAGATTATCTGGTTAAGGTATTCTAGATTCGAAGAATCAGACGTTGAAGACTGTTGGTGACATAGTTGATTATCCTTTACAGTGGCAAAGATGTTTTCGCTTTCTATGATCTTTCAGATTCATTAATTCCTGATTCTTCTTCTTCTTGTAATTATTATCTCTTTCGCGAATCTCCGGGCCCATCCCTTTCTTTTATTTTCTGGTGTGGCAGCTTGAGCTGATACAATTTTATGCAGAGTTGTATGGTGGCAATTCAATTCAGGGTGCTTTTATGGCAGGATTTTTGTTACATTGAAGATAATTAATTGTTTACCTTGAAACCAATTCTAATGAATGCAGCCCATTTTATCTCTTGTTCTCCTAAATACTGGATATACTAAACATATTTGATCCACACGCACTTATTTATTGACTTTTTCCTATGCTCACCTTTATATTTTCCAACATTTTGGTTTTTTCTTGCCAGCTGTTTCCGTTTTTTTAGTGTTTGTTTCTATGTATGTCTGCATTCTTACTACCGGAAAGCGATCGCAGTCTAAACTGTTACATTTCTGAGCCAATTTCATTCATATGTATACAGGACTGTTTGTATATATTAGAGCTGTCAATGAATTTGTAACACTTTGGTTGTTGATTTTCAACTAGTGGGTTATAGACTGGAACCTCGTTCAGCCTACTAAGATTCAAGCATTCAGCTAGTAAATATCATTCATTCTCACGCAATAATAGAATATAGACGATAACCGCCTTCTATGGACCTGTGAACGATTACTTCATTAAAATAAATTGTTACTTTGTTCCATCAATTTCGTTACTTAACACTGTTAACGTGTCGTAGATGTATAGTCTGGAATTAAAAGGGGTTGCATCCATCTTTTGCTTTATGGTTAGTTGAATGTGATTTGGGGAACAGTAAGGTTTGGTTCATTGTTCGTTATGATCAGTGTCTTTCATAATGAAACTTTACCTGTGTCTGCATTTTGATGAGCAAAACAACTTTAAAAAACCTTTTTGTAAAAACAATTTATCTACGTCATTCGATTTCATTTTCCTATTAACAGCTACTCTGCAAGAGCTAACAGCTGTCCTCATAGGAGTAGATATACAATTTTGCTAAGTGTCATAGATCTGCAGTTGGTTGTGGTCAGGGTTATAATTTTTTTCTTTAACTTCTCATAGTTCGTTATACCCATAGTTGACAAAACACATTTTTATGTAAAATGAAAGCGTGATTCTCATTCAAATATAACAATTTATTTGAGAAATTTATTTCCTTGTACAAAATCGTATCGTTGGACCAGGTAGGTAGCCAACCAGAACACTGGTTGCTGGAACTAAACTGTCTAAACTCAGTGCCACCACTGATGAGCTCGGTTTCAAAATGCCTGTTTAGTGTTAATACCGCTTCTAACCACCTAACAAGTACTACTACTGTCTGATGTGATTGGTTTCCAACAGCCTACATCGATCAGAGTAGCATGTACCATGATGAAAATTTACTAGCCTTCTTTATTTCTGTTTTATGATATCACTATTGAGCGGTCAACTTTTCCTTTTACAAATAAATAAGTAAAATAGGATTTTTTTTTCCCCCTTAATACTGATTTCATGTTTGCATGTTTGTTTTCTTTTCAAATTCTCTTCTTTTATAGGGTTTACCTTTTCAACACGGTGATATTCTGCATGTTGTCAACGCTAGTGATCGTGAATGGTGGCAAGCTAGACGAATATCTTTAGCATCTGATGTTGAAAATGCTCAACCTGTCGGTTCAACTTATTCTACTAACAACAATAATAATAGCAATTACAATAGTACGAGTACACGTACACTTACTTCTACTACTACGTCCACTGGATTGGGTATTATTCCCAGCTGTCAGCGTATTGAAAGACGTCAGAAGACTCGATTAAAGCGTGTAAATTTCGTTGGCAAAGTAACTGTAATTGGTTCAGCACCTTATACACATTCTACTTCCTCTTCAAATCCATCTGTTGTGAATTCGACAGCGCCTCTTTCATCACCGTGGGACATAAGTAATAATATTCCTACTACTGAGAACAGTAATAATAATAATAGTAGCAATTGTAACAATAATAATAACGGAAGTATGGTTACTGATTTCGCAGGCGGTTCAAATAATTCTGATCGCTTAAGAAATAATTCTTTAGATGTGAATTCAAGAGATATTTCACGCAATATGTCTATTGGTTCAGAATCGAGTAACAATGGTAAGTAATTGGGGATTACACTTATTTGCACTATTCATGTCAGTTTAACTCATTATTTCATTGATGTACTACTAGAAGTAACTTAACATACTTTCGGTTCCTCATAAATTGACTTATTACTTGGCAAAAATAAAAGTCGGTGGATTTGTTATTTTTAGATATAGATATAATCCTGCAAAACGGATATGCCAAAAAAGGTGAGGCGTTGATTTTCTTGCAAAACAGAAATTCAACTTTAGCATATCAAAAGTGGAATACTGATGTTACACAACTGTTTTTCACGAAAGCATAGTGTAGGGTTAAGAAGTCTCGTCTGTATTCGACATAGAACTTCGCACATATGTGCGGCAGTTCAAGTTGCCACACTCCATGTAGCACACAAAGCAAGAAAAGAAAGTAGAAGGAATGCATAATAGAGACAGTAAACAGAGGTGATAGACAAAGGAATAGTAGTAACGAAGAACAATATAGTTTCATTTGAAATCACAAATCACAAGGAGTGGATGCTTCTGCGCCATTGAGAAAAAATTTGAGCCATATCACCAATTGTTTCCAGCCATTGGTGTTTACCGTCCCGAGGACCCCGACCAATCAGGAAGTCTACACCTTCCTACGTGGCTTAAACTAACTGTAACCTTTTGTAAAGGTTAGTTCGTTCACTAGTTCTGGGAGAGAGGGCGGAGTGAGGAATTTGGATTAGCTGCATAATCAGCTAGTTCTCTTAGAAATCTGAGCGTAGGAAAGTGAAAGTCAGGATTAGCACTTTAAAATTTTTTACTGTCAAGGTATCTAAGTACAAATGGAAGAGTAAATTTAGTATATTGTAGTTCCCATATACCACATGCTACAGCTCTATGGCTCTTATTTACAATATATGTATCTGAAATGTAAGTTGGTTTTATATCTTTTTAGTTGTTCTTTACATGTATTTAAACGGCAATGAAAGGAGGCAGTGAACGTCCACTGACTAAAGTATCCCTTGGTTTGCTGATATGAAGGTCCCCACCGATTGAAAGAAAGGCTACTTTCCCAAACTATCAAAGAGTTGACTTATGTCTATCCAATAAATAGCGTCAAACCATGTCCTGATCCATTCTAAACAAAATATTAAGCCTCATCATTCTGAAGAGACTAAAGGACGCCCTGGATGAAAGATTTCTCCTGGAACAAACTGCCTTCAGGAGAAGCAAATCATACGTGAATCAAATGGCAACAGTATACATCATCACCTAACTGAGTTTGGAATGTCAGTCAACTTCCCACTTCAGCTTCTTTGACTTTGGACAGGCCTTCGATAGCGTTGAACGTAAAATAATTAGGAAACTGTTTCAACACTGTGGAGTGCTGCATACTTTCATAAACCTCATTCAACTGCTATGCAATGATACTACATGCCGTGTGACTCACAACGATAAACCCACCGAAACGTTTGAAGTGAAGACCGGAGTAAGAGAAGTCTAAATACTATCGCCGTTATTCTTCGTTATTGTAATGGACTCGATCATACGACAGACTGTGCGAAAGAAATGAGAAGATGGGTATTCGTTAGATCGACAGAAAGACTGTAGGAAATCTGGATTTCGCGGATTACTTATGTCGCATAAATTTGAAGGTCTACAGGTGGAAACCAACCTGTTGTCAGAAAAGGCAACGAATGTAGGGCCTCAAGTAAAAATAGAGAAGACAAGCGATTAAGATGACCAACGGTTAACAATAAGCTCCAACCAGTATCAGCGGGAAACATCGAAGAGTCATATCTCTTACTTACCCAGGAGGCATCGTTTCAACCATAGAAAGAAACCAAAGCAAGTCAGGATCGGGGAAGCAGGACAGGCGTTGGTTGTAATGAAGATGTACTGTTGAAGCCCTATGTTCCACTAGGGACACAAGGAACCAATAATAATAATAATAATAATAATAATAACAATGTTGAATATCGTTCGATCCTTTATTTTATCTTCTTGTGAAATGTGACAATTCTCTGTCATGTCTGTCCCTTTATCTTCATTGCCAACGTATTCATTGTGAATATATATGCACTTTAGAATGTTACGGTAGTCACTTACTAATTATTTTTCACTCTGATTATTATTCACTAATTAATTGTTTTCGTTAGATTATTTGAAGTTCAACCTCCTTTTATTTTCTGTTTAAAAAACCCTTTTTTTTTCTCATGGTCAAACAGATACTAGCAAAAAAAAGAGATCAAGCAGTTTGACAAGAAATCTGTTCAAATGTTTTTCTCATCGAGCTATCAAAAATGATTCAGTCAGTGGTGTTCTGACAATTACGAGGACAGGATCGTTGGATGGAGTGAATCAGAGTTAGTTTAGACTAAATATTGTTGTATTGTGTGCTTATATTTGCCAACTGCTTGTCGTGTTCTGTTTTCATTGGTCTTAAACAAGAGTTGATGTTTTATCCGACAGCAGGGTATGAGTAGTATGTATCACTTAGTATTTATGTTCTCTTTCTTGAAGACATTTTGTCCTGTTAATTAAATTATGTATTGTAATATGTTCAATGAAGATGTGATACAATTTCAGGTTGATCTGTGTTTTTCTGTTTTGATGATGTGTTTTAATAGGTTTTGTTGTTTTGTTCATGTTACAGTCTTCTTTCAGCCTAATTTGAATTCAATGGATGTTGGTTTAGAATGCGAAACATATGTGTCTCAGTGTCATCAAGGGTGAAAGAGATGAGTGATATATTAAAAATATCGTGACTAGCTGTGATCCCCAGGCTTAGATTTCGTGTTTTATTGACATTCATCAGCGCCAGCCTTGTATCGGTAAATGGATCAAGATTGACATATGATCCGGTATTATGTACAGAGACACTACGAATGTGGTTTTTAGTCATCAATCGCCTAAACGGATGTCATTCTTGAACATCAAACGTCTTCAACAACACAAATAAAAGTATTAATTGGATTACAAAGAAGAAGAAGAAGAAGGCATAACATTCGGAAATTTCACTTTTATTGTAGACAACTAGCATTGATCACATCCTGTTAAACTCATTGATAATAACCTCAAACGGACAACTTAGATTATTTTTAAAAAAATTCCATTATTTCAGGTTGCCACAAAAAATTGAAGGGAAATGGTATGACATTTCACTGGAAAAATATGCATGTTGGCGAAGATAGAATTTTTAAGTGGAAATGAATGGAGGTATTTTGTAGAAACTCATATATTTTCCAATTCATTTTGGTTAATTGGATGATGTATTAAGAAAACTTTTTCAGTTGTAATAGGGATAGTTAAAAGAAATTCAGGCTTTTTGGGTTTAATAGGAATTCAATTCATTTCAATGTAGACTTTGTCATAAACTGACATCAGTTAGAGAATCGTTGAAAAATAGTGAGCTCCTGGGCAGGTGTTTCGTCATAATTCGTGACTCTTCATCAGGTTTTTTCACTCGGTACCTAAAGTTCTTGGGCTTATAGACGTGGCCTTTGTTTACTGAAGGAAATGGTGATTACTATGAATTTCTCGGGATAATATCTTTTACTTTGTTAACTGTTATAATCGAGTTACCGACAGGATTGAGTTAAGGTCAAGTTAAATTGAAAGAGGGTCTAGTTAATTGTCGTAAGGGGTAGAAATATAGTGGTAGGAAAGGAGAAAAATAATGAAATTAAAAGATTAAATAGATTATACATCAAATGTTATGGTGTGTCGGTGGCACAGCGGTAAAATGCTAGCCAACCACACAGGTGGTTCGGGGTTCGATCCCCAGCCGACGCACTTTTTTACCTGGCTAAGGCAGTAATAAGACTGGTAAAGAGGGAAGGTTGGCCGTGATGTGAGTAAACCCATCCCGTAAAAATAAACACCACCATCGCTACTGAAACTCCAAAGTTCTAGCTTGAAGCCCCATGTTCCACTGGGAACGTAAAGGAATAAAAAAAATCAAATGTTGTAGTTTGACGAGTCCTGGTTTTCTCCTTTCCCACTACGACACTGATCTTAACTTCACTCTCTTTCAGTTTTAGTTAACCTTTGCTCAATTCTCTCAGTTACGTTATGTCACTCAATTTACTTATTTCATTTTGGTTTCTGCCCGATTAATGCTTTCTGAATTAAGTAATAGATATCTAAGAACTACAATTTTACCTGTTGTAACTACTGTTTCACTTTATTCCATCCATTATTATTATTATTACTGTCTTAATTAGAACTTTTGCTGTTAGATAAGTTGGACCTAAGTTTCGTGCTCGTTGGCACTAGTCAGCAAGGTGTATATGCAATCTTGAAGGAACTTATGTCCCTTCTGAGATTCGAACCCGTATCACTCAGTGCTACCATCGGAGATGTTACTACTGAGCTATACGGATTCATGATTGACCTCCTGTAGGCCTGTAATGAATGCGTTGGCTGGACATCAGGTAGTAACTAATATCATGTGTCCAGGAGCTCGTTGGGTGCAAAGTGAATTCTGTCAACCAAGTTGGCAATGTGAACACCCTTCCAACTTATGTCTGTCTGAACTTGGCTGGTAAAACATTTCCACCTTTCGGGTGGCTAGGATTGATTCAATGTAGTTTATTTATTAGTCAAATATCTCCTCATGTTTCTTTCATAGTATGTAACAGCACTGTATTATTCATTCGAGTAGGTCCCCCGACATCTAATGAATTTATTTAATCCTACCTTTTCAGGTCCATAGTCGAAATGTAATAAATAACAAAATACAGTTACGTAATACAAACGAGGAACCGAAATAAAAAAACAACACTAATTAAGCAGGAAGTTAAGATAATCAACCTAATTAAGTCATAATTATTTTCGTTACAGGATTTCATCATGAGCTGACATTAGAAAACCATTGGAAAACCTGGGAGTACTGGACAGCTGTTTCGTCCTAGTTTGGGACTCTTCAGCAGTACGCACCAACCGGGGTTCGGACCCAGGACCTTTTAGTTACAAGGCGAGCTCGTAAACCACTAAGCCACTGGGACCTGATCCAATGGCCCATGAATTCTAACTTCTGCCAATTCACGATATAGCGCAACCTGGAAGTACTCCCAGGTTTTCCAATGGTTCTCTAACTAATGTCAGCTCATGATGAAATCCTGTAACCAATCAACCAGATCCCTACAAACCAATACTTGCATAATTATTTTCTTGAGGAAATAGACCACTAATGATAACTGTTGCAAAGGCAGGTCGAATGGCTTGAAACTTTTGACTGCTTATGCTTTAACCATGCCCTTTGAGAGGTGTGAAGGGAGTTTGGATAAGATTTTGAAGGATTTCTGTAATAGAGTGTAGTGACCTTGTTTGTTTTCAATTTGTATTGGGGAAGTAAATTCTTCCAACTTCGAGATTTTCACAATTATGGATTATATATATATATATATATATATATATATATATATATATATATAGTGTATATTCAAATCTCACCTAACAGACAAAACTTATATAAATCATTTAATAATATCTTTCGTTTGTCAGTTCTGTTACTCACCTTCTGCAGTTTGCTGTCGTCTTTCGTTGATACTATTCCTTTTGTTTATTGCAGACTACAGACCACTGTTATGTGTATGAATGTGCTGTGCTTGTTTGTGTCCTCTTACGTAAAAAGTTAATGAAGTATTAGGAACACCGATGAAGGAGTGGTCGTTTTGTTTATCAGTCCGTTCCGTCTTCTTAATTTATGCCTGTTATTACGCATAATAGTCCTAAGGCTGCTGAGGTTAGTAGATCTGAAGTCTTTTTTGGACAATATCTATCTTGAGAAGTACTGTAGCGTTTGCTACTGACAACAGTTTGTAGGTACGGGTCTTGATGAATAGCTGAACAAGCAGGAGAAATAAGAATAACAGAAAGCATGAAATGAAGACGGAAGAAACAGAATACGAGTACTTCTTACAGAATGGCGTTATATTTTGCCAGATAGACAATTCCTCTACCAAATACCTCTTCTACAATGTAGTTGTACATTGCAGTAATTGAATTTATGACACTAAATGAAACGAGTAGTTTGGTCAGCGAGACTTATTATGTTGTATGCCTCCTCCATTTTGATGGATAGGATGTTACACTGCAAATCCTCATTGGTTACCTTATCCATCGGTGACCGATATCGGCAATATTAGTTGGTCGAAAAATGACCTGAGACTAATGCATAAAGTTTTTATTTGAATTTGTTGCTTCATACTGCTTAATGAAGTGTAGACAGTCTTGTGAAGTTGTGAAGTCCTCAAGGAGTTAGTGTTTCACTCATATATTTTGTTTAAAATCGATTGTAATGGCGTAATGATGTATGTAGTATATTCAAATCTGTATATTATTTAGCTGTTGTTATCTTGTCGCTATTTTTTTCTCATTTATTCTCTCATCTTTCTATTTTCTCTTGTTTTTGTTTGTTGTTGTTAATTTTCTGTTTTGTTGTATTGAGAACTTTTTTCCGCTTGAATAGTTTCACTTGTGCATAGATTTCTGTTTTTTCTTGCGCCTGTCCACTTATAGTATGTAAGTGTACCTATGTATACTCTCAAATTTCTGCTTGGTAAACTAGTTTATAGCAAATTAACATTAAGTGTCAATGAGTAGTGTGTTTCATTATTTTCATTTTCAAGTTTATAAATTATTGTTTAACACACAGTTTGGCGTAGTATCAAATGCTTCACAAATGCGCCACGTAATTTTCGTAATGTGAATAGCTAGCTCACTGGCTTGGTGGATAAGGCCTTGGAGTTTGGAACGTCGAATTATCGGCGGGTATACTACCGCTTACTATTGGGATGCAGGTACATTCGGTTGACAACTATGTCCCAAGTGAGATAGAATCCGAGGTCCTGGATTCCACTGCTATGTTTTATATTCATTCCTTTGCATTCCAAATGGAACATGGGGCTTCAAGCATTTTGAAGTTTCACTAGTGCTGGTTTCGTTTTTACGGGGGTAAGGTTGCTAGCTACACACTCAACCTTCACTCTTTATGTGGCTTACTTCTGGTTAGGCGGGGTTTAGGATCGCGTCAGCTGGGGCTCGAACCCGGACCACATGCATGGTTGGCAAGCATCCTACCATTGAACCACCAACACATGATTCCACTGTTGATCAGAATCAACTAAATAAATTAACTACAAGTATTTCCTGCTTGGAAATGGTAACTGACTGACGGCACAATGTGTTTCAGTTTTACTGTGCTCATATTGTTACTTAAAGAAAGGTATCAGTTTTTTTCAACTATCGTTCAATCTTCAAGAATAATTTCTCGTGTTAGAAGAGCAATAAATTTGTTAAGATGTTCTCACTATGATTATGTTGAATATATTGCGTCTATATTCGTGGTGGTGTCCCACTTATTGTATTCTGTTTGACTTGTGTGTTTTGTTTGTACCTGTTTAGAAATCATGCTTATATTGTCGTACTTATCTTTTCCGTATGTGTATCCAGCAGAATTATTTTGTGCATTAATTGAATATTTCCATTTGATCAACTCATTTAATATACTTTGCAAATGTTTGTTTGCAGTTAGATCAAAAAATGAAATCAGCTAAGAAATCACTATAAACGCGGGGGTACTCAATAGCTGTTTCGTCCCAGTTTGGGACTCTTCATCAGTACACAGACATGACCACCCCACCTGGTGTAGAAATCAGGACCTTCAGGTTGCGAGGCCAGCCCGTTGACCATTTAGCCACTGGGACGGAGTCTAGTGACTCATGAGTTCTAACATCTGCGAATTCGTGACACACTATCAACCAATATGTGTAGCATCTTTTCCCATGTCTGTCTGGTTTCAACATAGAACTTTGAACCAATGTGCAGCAGTTCAAGTCACCACACTTCACTCAGCACACAAAGCCAGAGAAGAAAGTAAAAAGAAACGCAAAATAGAGACAGTGAACAGAGATATGAGGCATAAAGAATAGTAATATCGTAAAACAATATAGTTTTATTGGAAATTATAAGTCACAAGGAGTGGATGCATCTGCACCAGCCATTGAAAACGATTTTGAGCCATATCACCAATTGTCTCCAGCCATTGGTGTTTACCGTCCCGAGGACCCCAACCAGGAAGTCTTCACCTTCCTACGTGGCTGTCTTGAACTAACTGTTGTGGACTTCATTGACTGATGAAGCCATGTTTTGGTTTGACCACCACTGGCTGTTTTCCAACCTAATCCATCGTATGTCAGCTAACATTGCCCGTCGGTCGAGGAAGGCGATGGGTGGCTAGGAATGCATGCATAACACATTTCCTAACCATCTCACTCGATTTAGCCTCACAGCCTCGTCTATTGATTTCCCCTCTTTACCTAGCACTCGACCAACGCCTTACCTCAATACTGCTCACCTTATTGTACCATTTCCCATAACTATAAAAACTATCCTAACGAACACACTATACAGCTATTATACGTGTTCACACTTTACACCTGATTGGTTATATGTTTTATGCATGAAAAAATGGTTTTATGCGAGAATATTATGCAATGAATATTAAAACCATTGAAACTTTTTCTCAACTTTTCATAGCCCCATTCCTGACTAGCAATCCATCTAAATCACTTGGTTACCTGAATTTCCATCTAGTACAAAGCAATAAATTTTGTCTAATTCTTGTTGTTTTAACCATTCAGTCAAGTACTTGAGTTGCAGAATGCATTAATGCTGATTTTTTGATTAGTTTTCGACGTACCGGTGTGCATTATTCGGAGACGGAGAAAAAATATAATGGGGGATTGGTCTGTGCTTCAGATCGAACAGCACTGCGTCACATGGCATGCTGTAGATTGCTATTTTACTTGAAGATCTTGGATGAAAGAAAAGTGTTATGCAATAAATTACTGTGAGAATTCTGTATACTGTACAACCATTTTGTCCCGAATAAGATTATTATTATTACCGTATTTAACCGTCTCCACTTTATGAAAAGTAGTCTTCCATATATATGGGTATTGTTTTCGCCTTCCTTTTTCTGAAATAGATCGATATCCTGTTGTACGGAGTTATGATCTTGTTGTCCCAATCACGATATCTATGGCACGTCCTTTAATATTCTTTGGACCGTTAAAAGACCGTATAATTGATGAATTACTATTAAAAGATGCTAAATTTACAACATGTGTACTACGTAAGTATTTCTAATTTTATACACTGTAGTATATACGAGTTTGCTAGTAATTCAGTCATGTTTTATCTGCAGGATTATCGTAAACCACTTTAAAATGTTAGAAATAATTTGAATGTTCTTATTATGATAGCTAAAGAACGCAGGGCACTAGATTTTACCATTCAGCATACTATCACAGATCTCAAGAATTTTGAATGCCTTTTCTCGCGAAGTGTACAGCTTAGGGAACTGTCATCACAAGTTTTCTTTCAGTGCGGGAAACAGTTATTCCTTTTGTGGCCCTCATCTGTCACAATTATTTTTTCTCCGGGGTTATTATCATCTTTGTTTCTACTGCTGTCTTTATTGTTATTGCGATATTTGGTCCTCATAATCCCATCGATGTAACCTGTGTGGCTCATGTTAACAGTCAATGGCTTTTTGAATAAGTACCATATTCTTACTTATCTTATTTCAGTTAGCTATTTGTCATCGAGTAAGGCAGGGACTCTTGCGAGATGCGTGTTCTGGCCGTCTTAATCAATAGAGCTTCATAATCCTACCGACTAACCTTCTTTATTGATGTAACGTTTTACGCCTACCTCATTATTACTGACTATATTGCACCACCTTATAGAAAAGGGTGTAGTTGCGAATCATATCTTCCACCTTCAGTAAGCATGTTGTATAACCGTTGAGTAGAACGGAGCCAACTTATAGACAGATATCATGCCGGCACAAAAGATGACACAAGCAGACGAATGCCAGACGAGCCTTTCATTTCAGGAATGAAGTTTTGTTAACGATCATTCCAACAGCGTTGATACATCTTCACTAAAATAAATGAAGTGGTGAATAAATTCACCCATTTTCCTGTCTCTCCCTAAGTTTGGAGTTGGTACCGACCAGTCCTCTCATCATTATATATAGGTGGGTGGGTGGGGCTGTGAGTCGCACGCCAAATATATACTGAGATTTCTGCTTAAGGTGTTCAGAAGACTTTACATTTTTTCAGCATCTTCACACCGAAGCACTATGTCATCTGCATACTCTAGATCAACAAATCTCTTGCCAGGTAACAGGTTGATCCCTAAGCCATCGAATTCTGTCAGGGTCACACTAATTATTATGTCTCCAATGAAATTAAGTAAAAATAACGCCACCGGGTATCCTTGACGGATACCACTGGTTTTCATCATTCAGATGACAACTTTTTGTAGGCTCTTACTTGAGTTCTATCAGAGTCCTGGTAAATTCGCTCGTATTCCTGGAAATGTATAAGGCTGTAAAAGGAATAAGTAACACAGTCAATTTATAATGTAACGCCATACCAATGTTGCGTTATATCATGTCCCTTGCTTTCATTTATAGTAAGTGCCCTATTATAAATTACATTTATACATTAACCGTCATATGGAAGACATAATTTTCTAATCAGGTTGAGTAAATTAATAATTAATAAATTTTTTTTAAATGCTATCATTACCATTAGTGATATTCTTTATCTATTGATAGACACCAGTAGACCACAAAGACCGAATGAACGTAATGGTATTGATTATTACTTTGTCACATCGAAATCCGCAATGGAAGAGGATATTAAGCAAGGCAAATATATTGAAATCGATAGATTCCAGGATAATTATTATGCAATAAGTATAGATTCAATTCGTTCTATCCTACAATCCGGTCGAATATGCCTTTTAGACGTTGGATTAGATTCAGCAAAGTACCTAGAAGTAGGTTTGTCTATCTGTATATATATATCTGTGGATTTTTGTTTTTTCTGCGGTCAACTTTTAATATTTTCATTTCTAAATCATAATTGTATTCCTTTTTTATTGTTTGTGAACCATGATATCATTGTACATGTGTTATATTTTTAACAAGTCAATGAACTACAGTCAACATTATTTACCGAAAAGTTAGATTAGTTTAACGAAAAGCGAATATAATCTTGTCCGCCGCTATGCTTCAATTTTTAATTCCAAATTCCAAAATGTTTGGAATGAATGGAACTGTAGAATTCATAGCGCGACTGATGATGACACTCGTCTTTCCTATGCACACTGCATAAAATTTGTTAACTATCCACTGTATATAAAACAATTAAACATCTTATCGTCTTTGGAATCCTTCACTAATCAGTCTGTCGTTAGTTACGTGTGTTTTTTAAATGGTGAGCGAATTCATCTTTTGCCGGTTTATTTAACTATCTTTATAGTTTTCCCTGCAACGTTAATATTTTATTGCCTCTTTCTAAAGTGGAAACTTGATTTTTTTTTGAACTTTCAATATATGTTCGGCGTCTCAACACATATTTCCTCAGTGATGTTTTACGCTTATGCAGTTTATTTGTATTCACCATCGGTTGGGGTGCTGACAGTCACCAAGAAATATGACATCAAGTGATATTATGGGGAAGATTTTAGGATGTAATTACCATTGTCAAGTCGTCAGATCACCAGCAGGAGACTTCATAGATTTTTCCCAAATCAGTTTCCCGCTTGAATAATAATGTCGACGTGATAATGCCTGAATAGTCTTCTTTCTTAAGGTTTATTAACATGTGAAAGGCCATCCTATGCTTCATTCAATTTATAGTTGTTGGTTATATGTAGGTGAGGGAGTTCAAGGGGGTGCATGTGTGGATGACAGTCCTTCTCATATTCGATTACATTGACTGTCAACTTGGTACGCCTGAGCAAGCGATTAGCATTTTACCCGTAGAACTTCATACCAGCTAGTTTCTCCATACGAGGATTGTGTATCTCACAGAGTCAATATATTTGTTTAAATGAGTTTCAGTGGATAACGGTGCTTTGATGTTGTCTAGATAAGTTTTCTTTTTTTTATCCAACTTCCTAAATGACTTCATTATTGTAAAACTCTTATTTATCATTCATTCATTCATCAGTTCAACTTAAAAGCATGAATGCATGAATTACAATTTTTCATTACTACTCTTCCCAAACTGTGTTCAAAGTCCTAATAGATTACTTTCTTAATTCAAAGGAAATTGGTCTCTTCCCCATAACAATCCTGCTGAAACCCAAATCTATTACACATTTACGTATGCTGCAGCGTAGGCTAACTGAAGATCAGGCAAAACGCCTAATGGAGCTAATACAACACATTGAAGATGAAAACTGGCGATTTCTTTCGGGTAAGAAAGATACTATTTTATACATATATAGGTATATAATTTTCGTGTTACTGGCTCTGTTTATTGCTGTCTGATACTTCATAGGCTTAAGCATGATTTCCTAGTTAGAGATTCATCTACAGTACGCGTTCACTAAGGTTCGAACTCATCACTGTCGAGTTACAAGGCAACCTCGTAGACCATTCAGCCAATGGGACCCGACTCAATGACCAGCCCACCAATTCGTGATTTTAGCGCGACCACTAGCCATTGTCGTCGTCGTCGAGTATTTGTTCTCACTCCCGATCGGATGAAACTCACTGGTCATGACTTCTCACTGAAACTCCAAGCAGCTTCGTCCTGTAGCCAGCCAGTCACCAACGAGCACCAGAATAACTTTCAAGAGTTAGTTTGTAAGGGTTTGATTTGCTTCAAGTTTGACCATGGATTGATATCAGTTAGAGAACAACCATTGAAGACTAGGGAGTACCGGACGGCTGTTTCGTCCTAATCTGGGTCTCATCATCAGTACACACATACAGAAGTTCGAACCTAGGACCTGCCGGGGTTCAAACTTCAAATAAATCAAATCCCTACAAACCAACTCTTGAAAAAAACACATGTTCGCCACACTAATTGAGATGTATTCATCAATACTTTATTATCTGGCTTTTTCAATCATTGGTTTATAAGCTCATAGTTTCCTTTAAAACAACAAGTGTCTATTGCCTGGTGTATTTTTCATTTTAGCTAGTTAATTAGAATTCTGTTGTCTTCTGATCAGATTCTCGTTTGTGCGTGTGCGCACAAAGCTACGTGTATTGTGTGTGTGTGTTGGCTAGAGATACTGTGATATTCGACTCAGTCGTCCAGGTTGTGTATTACATAATTTACTGGTTAGCACACCCGTTTTTTTTTGTTCATTAGTTTCGATACATAATGTTCAATGTTTAGTTTTCTATTTGAATTTTGGACTTGTTTCAAGAAATTATTAGAATGCTGATATATATATATATATATATCACATGTCTTGATTGATAAGCACATGAGCTTTTTTGTGCTTATTCACAGCTGTCAGGTTGTATTTTATTTTAGAAAAAAAGTTTAAGTGTTTTGTGTATTGTTTTAAAAAAAGAAACGCATATGTTGTTGTATGTAATTGGGATTAAGGTCAGTCTTATATTGTGGATAAATAAATAATTGGCGTATTAGCAGATCGATTAGTACAGTCGATGGGTAAATATTATATTTAATGATAAAGAAAAGGTTTCAGTCTTTTTTTGAACTTTTGTGTTCTGTTTAAGAAGGTGAATGAATTATGTATGTGTAAGCGGATAGAGATACAGTCACACATACACGTACACATCCACTGTCACACACACACTCTCTCTCGGCGACTATATACGCGTCGATATACAGTCAACAATAACTATTGGGCATTCTGTAATGTGGTATAAATTCACAGTTTGGAACTTGTTTTTATGTCAATCTTATCACTTACATTACTAATAGAGAGAGAGAGGACTGTATAAGTCATGATTGACATTACCTCTGTGTTTTTAAATATTGTACACTGCTGGTCGGGTGGTTTCTGTGCATATGAAGTCATAGATTTGGACTACTAGGGAGGGCTAAACATGGAGAAGAAATTTCTAGCAGAACGACATAATTAGTTTGTTTTTTCCCCAATGATTTTATTACTTGCAATGATTATTCAGTTTAGTGGTTTCACTGTCGACTGAAATGTGTTTTCCGAATGGATCAATATGCTTTCTTGTTTACATACTGTGAGTAAATAATAAAATATCTGAATATTTCCGTTGACATGTTTATAATTAATGTACAACGGTTTGATGTTAACAAATTTAGTACTTTCATATATACTAGGCTGTGAGGCGAACATATTCTGTGAGCACCGATGATTACTTTTCATCTGCCCGAGATTAATTAGATGGAGTGGGACGTGAACTTGTGACTTACTGGCTTGAAATCGAGTGTGTAAGCCAATGAACCACAAGATAGGAGAAGGTTATCGCTTATGGGTTAATTTTTCATCAGTATACAGTGAAGATCTGACTAATTGGCTTAAGAGCTCGGTTTACAAAGCAACGGCCACGTGTCTGAGTCCCGCTGCACCTGTTTCAGCCTGGGCAATATCACTGGCCTCCAAACAATGGTGGCTCTCAGACTGGGACATGAAGGATCTGTCACAGGTAGTTGAGCCCAAACACCTTACACTTCACTTCATTTCTTTGACAGTCTGATGAGCTTTGTGTAAAATTGCAAGTGTGTCTGAATTGTCTTTTTGATGAATGAGTTAACCGGTCGTTTATTATTATTATTATTATTATTATTATTGCATTCAGTACAGTAGAAATAATCCCTTCATATGATAAGTATAGTAAATGTAGTATTGTAATATTAGAGATCATTGCTTAATAAAGAGATACAATAAACAGTAACAATCTTTCAGTCTGCATAGCTTCATTTTAGCATTATTGTTTACCCATACCTATGTAATACATGTTGTTATCATTACTATTAAATGGTTCATTATCCTTCCTTTTCGAAATCTGTGTTTTTAGCTATTATGACATATGAGAGTATAGAAAATCTCTTGACTTCAATTGACAAATTTGTACAACTTCATAGTGGTCCTGTAATTTGGGTACCATCCACCATGTCTGTAACTAATCCCGGTGTTCAGTGTCCAACTGGTACGTCTACTATAAATCATAATCAAGTAATAATTGGAAATAATAGTCAAAATATTAGTGCCTTGCTGCCACCGGCACCACAGCCTGTAGCAGCGTCATCCTCTTCTGTAAATGCTACCGTCAATATCACACAATACAACAACAACAACAACAGTAATAACAGACAAAACCCTTCAACTCGCTTCGGTGTTTGATTTCTTGTGGGATGCAGGAAAATAGACAATTGAAAGTAATCAGAGGGAAGAAACATCTTTGTGTGCATGTTACAGTTGTTTCCTTTTGTACCCCGCCACTTTCCCCCTTGTTCACACAGCCGTTCCTTTTTCTCTTTTAGTTCTAATCCACCATCTTCGTGCTTTTGCTATCTGCCTTCTGTTTTTCTTTCTCTTTCTCTGCTGTTTGTTTTCCTTTTGTATTGTTTTCCACTTGTTATCTCAATAAGAGGTTGTTATTATTATTGTTACTATAGTGATGTACTGCTTTTTGTTTGTCTAACTTGTACACGGCGATTTATTTCTTCTTTTGAACTTGTCTTGTTCTTTTTTGATGATCTCCAAAATAATTGCATTATACCTGTTGTGTGTGTGTGTCTGTGTTATTACTGCTAGCAGCCACCTCTTGAGTCATTTGTGTTAGCAGCAGTATGCTACATTAATTGGTGATTATTTTCATTACTCTATTGGTGTTATCGTTGTCACTGTTACTTTTTATATCTGTCACTTATTTTGTGTATGTTTGAGAAGAGTACGTGTGTATTCTTCTGTGTTACTCTACTCTTCCTAAGCTTTATCTTTGTCGTCAGCTCGTGATAAGAAAGAGAATCATAATCTGAAAACTGGGAGTTATTAATGCCATAGTGTTGTGATCTTTATTCACTTATTCAGTCTGTCTTATTTAGTTGCTTATGTGTATATATTTAACACATAACACATACATCTGTGAGAAATGAATATGTTGACAAAGTAACGATTATTATTATTGTTATTATTGTTATTAATGTTTGTATTCGCTTAACTATATTATTCCCTCATAATAATGTAGAATTGTGATCAGTAAATACCACAGTCTTGGTATTTTGCCTCTGTTACACTTAATACTCTGTTCTACTATAACAAACTATATAGTTCAACTGTGTGTGTGTGTGTGTTATCCTTGTAGGCTTGATACCTACCTATTCTCTCCACTTTCATTTCATGATGCTGGCAACGAATTCGATAATTCTACCGATAGTAGTAATAGTAATAAAGCTTTCGTTTGCTTATGTACAATTGATACATGAAAACAAAGGAGATAAAATGAAGTAGACACTCACACAAACACAGAATTTTCTCAGTCAATAATTCATTATCAATTTTGCTGTGTGTTTTTGTGAGTGTGAAAACGACCGATTCCTTTCCCGCAAAAATATCTGTTAATTATATCGTTACACTTAACAAACCATGTGATGAGTGAATTATCGAAGACAAAATAAATATATATATATATCTTTGGGAATTATGCGTTATTTATTGGTTCCATGAAAATCCACATACAACTGAGGACAGTGTGTATTATGCACGATATCCGGCTGACCGACTGGCATGCAAGCTGTTTTTTCGTCTTTACCTGCGTTGCCACTTTCCTCTCAGTATATTCCTCTCAATGCTTATTTAATTGTTGTAATTACTGTCATACTCTTTTGCTTCGTATAACCCTTAAGGGTAGGCGAATCTCCACATATATATATGTATAACTATTCATGTTCCTTTCCTCTTGTTGTACATAACCCAGTGTGTTTTTCACCTCAGTTTTGGAATGGGCATCCTTTATTGCAAGAAGAAGAAGAAGAAGATGGACAAAAAAAGAGACTGTTGTCATAAATGAATCGTTGTCATCGTTGACTTTCCCATTGATTATTTAGAGAGAGAAAAGATATTTTTCAGTGATCTTCACGTTTGCGTTTTATTTTCTTTGTAAATAATAAACTTCTATGTTATGAAATTGTTTTTTCAAAATATGTGTTATGCAATAGAGACGGACAGACATCTCTATGCATTCATTCAAGGCGCTTATGGCCAAATCAACAATGATTCTTATCATCAGTGTATAATACCTTGTGTACACGCACACACACATATCATGGTCTCCTTTTCGTATTGTTATTGTTGACAGGAGTTGGAGTTCCCCTCGAGCTGATATCATTATTATTATTATTACGAATTACACATACTTGACTTATTTTGCATCATTTTATGCTTAGCGTAATTCTTGTAACGATTATGTACTTCTTGGAAGGTTAAAATAAGACTGTGTATCACAGCTTTAGCGTTTCAATTATGAGTTGTTATTATTATTATTATCATCATTATTACTATTAACGTTTATAGACAGTATTGTATGTACTCTGGTCACGCTAACGTTATAAATATGCGTGCGCCTTCTTCTTCTTCCTTTTTTTAAACAAAACATTCTTTTCTCTCTTTTAGCCTTGTTTCAACTCGATAATGAATGAAAGAGTGAAATAAGAATATGATAGTTGTGTTAATCACTATTGATTTTTGTTTCTTGTGTCTTCTGTTCTCTTGATCTCTCTCTCCCTCTCTCCGTCTCTCTACATCACGATGATCATGCATGCATACAAGTATATAAACTACAGGTGCAAGTAGGCCACGAGAGAGAGAAAGAAAGAATGAGAGTTTTTGTAAAAGAAGGCGAATCATCCACAGTGTTTATAGATTTGCTAAGCAAAAACACTGACGAAAATTATTGAGTGAGTGAGATGTATTCGTTTGTGTGTGTGTGTGTTGTTTTCACAATTGTATTTTTTTTTGTTGCTTTCATGCATTCACACGTCACATAACTTGTACTCTGCTTGTTAATTTTCGCTATGTTGCTATGCTATGCTGTAACAGTTTTGCTTATTTTGTAAGTTATTTTATGTTTAAGTAGTTGCTGATATTGTTATAATAATTATTATTATTAATACTATTCTTATTATTGCTACTTTTGTTTCTCTGTCTATTTCGGCCGTTTCCCTATGCACTCACCATCTATCTACCTGTTAAGAAATATATATATATATATATATATATATCGACGAAAAGAACGTTCTACACATCGATGTATAGTTTCATCTTCTTCTTTCAGTTTGTATTTTCTTGTGTACGATATTTATTAATTATTTTACGAAAAATGTGTCAAGTTCTTGCGTATAGAATCTCTATGTTTATGCATGTATGTATGTGTTTGTGTGTGCGTATGTTACTATGTTTATTCCGATGATGATATAAACGGTAGTGATGATTCTCGTTTAGACGTAAAACAAACGTTGTGTGTGTGTGTGTGTGTGTGATGTGTGCCTGTGTGAAATTAGTCAATAACATTTTAGAAATACATATTGGACGTTTGTTTAGCAAAATTATCAGACATATGATGATGATGAGTAAGGCTTGTTTCTGGGCTAATTTCTAGGTGAAACTGTTTCTCTAACACTACAATGAACTCTGATGAATGAAGTAATTGCGTTATAGTATATTGCACTTTAACGTATTATCCTGTTTATCAATCATTGATGTTAAACTGAAATGTAAAATTATGTGTTATACATTCTATTTATAATAGACAGTTAATATATTGATAAAAATTGTTTCACCTTTTTTGTATCAGTCTTTCTTCTTCTCTTCTCCGTTAATTGTGATTTGTCCGGTAATAAGACCTATTATTTTTACTACTATTAGACTTCGAGACTTGCGAATTACTCCTGTAGTTAATCACCGCTGCCACCCCCCACCACCTCCACGACGACAACAGCAACAATGATATTATAACTGTTACGCGGAAACAAGGCAGAAGATGAATTGTTGATAAGAGGGTGGCTGTTATTGTTTCAAATAACAGTCAAAACATTTGATAGTGATAGTGAAAACACAGGTTTTATTAAATATTCTTGATGAACACCAAATCCAGTGATAAGTTTAAAGAGTTAGCCTCAGTCTTTACATGAGTATGAAATGCACAAGGCGCAGTGAGCATGTATCTTGGTACTCTACCATACTTAATTTTAAGTAGTTTGGAGGCTTTTAATTCGAGTTCTACTGTTACCCACATTTTCCTTCAAACAATTACCCTTTACATGAAATATATGTTGATGTGTTGAGAATGGCATTTTACTATACTAGCCACAAATTCGACATATTTGTTGTATAATTCATTTGATAGTTACTAATGGTTGGTGAAGGTAGTGTTTTGGTGAATGTCTGAGCACAAGTGGTGCTGTAGGAGGACTGGATATTTATTTTGCTTGATCATTGACTAGCTAGAACTCGAGCTATGGATATAAGGTGTGTTTCGGAGACACACATAGAATGCCAAATTGCGATTATTTACTTAACATCACCTTGTCACAAAATCCATTCTACAGGTGTTAGGATGTTCTTTGGACAGTTCTCTTGAACTTGTTGATGTATGATTAGTATGAAGTACTAGAGCAGAAAACTTGTTACTCGGTTGAATTCCAGTGAGAATAAGAAAAGATTGTGATGTCGGTACATATATACTTGCATAATCTCTGTTAAGATATTGTTATTTTAGCGGTTGGTCTCGATGCTGAAGTAGGAAAGGTGTACCAATCGGAAAAAATTACTATTAACATCTGTGGATTTCCATGCTGGCGAGCCAGCAAGGTGGTCCTATTTTACGATGCTATTCGGATAGTCATCTGTCCCTGGTCAGCTCCCTGCACAACAGCCGCATTGGTTCTAGATTCGTACTACTCCGTGCAATCATACGCTTACGACTGAATGGACACGGAAAACAGGTGGCTACGAAGCCACCAAATCATCCACTTGACGAGAAGACAAAGTAACTATTTAGATGTGAAATAACTAAAATCCGTTAATAACCTAAAACCGAAGATAGGTAAATGCCAGTGTATTTCTACTGTTTCATCTGGGCTGATTCAAGCAGATTGATTCTGGAGGGCTCTGAACATGATGAAGCAAGCTGACTATAGTTTTCTCAGGGATCATAAACAGTGGTGGATGACAAAAGCGGAAGAGGATGGAAAAGGCGTGGACAGTAGGTAGTACCAAACAACTATTCAGACTAATTAGCGAAACGTGTTCTGAAATGCTAATGATATGCAAGACAATTTCCGAGAACAGTACTTTAACTACATCTTAGGACAGACTATTTAAAGCAATGGGAAGTGAAACGA